CACATGAATGAGATGCAGGTGAGGACAGATTAGCGCCAGGACAAAGCAAGAAAGAAATTCGTCATTAAATTGTCAAAAAAAAACTGCCTAGAAACTCACCTTTCTCTAAATCTGAATGGACTCTGGTGACCAAGCAGTCAAAGGCAAAGATCAAATGAGCAGCATGTACACTTCCAACTAACTCCCATGCTGTCACTCACACACACACACACACACACACACACACACACACACAAAATAATAATCCCACAGTCACTTTCCAAACTTGCCACCACTGGATCATTAGCCAAAGCATGTTTGGTTTTCTGGAACTGCAAACACGAAACAGGGAGAGGAATAAAAAGGAAAGTCAGCCAGCACAGAAGGAACAAAGGAACAGTGGATTGGGTTTAAACCATGCTTTGCAGGACACAGAGAAAGTCTAACCTAGAGATCTTTTTCTGACCCAGAGTGAAGCGGATGATTTTGCTCTGAGATGAGTCCTTGGATGAGGCACTGCATGATAGGGAAGAAAAGAGTGGAACAGATGAGTGAGGAGAGAAAAGATACAAACCTTAAGAGCCTAGCACAAGGAGGCTTTTTCCCCTCCACACACTTTTTTCCTTCTACGTCCAGCTTCACTGATACAATATATTTCCAATATGAAGAAAGTGCAATCAAAACTATTTAAGAACTTTTATGCTTCTTCCCCCCTTAAATACCAATATCTTTCCTGCTTCCAGTCAGCACAGGTTTTCTTCATACCTTTCTAAAATTACAAGATGTTTAAGGTATAAAGTATTTACAAGGCATAAAATAAAGATGCTTAGGTAAAATATTACTTTATACATTTCTGAAACATTGAGATGTATCTATTTCATAGGCGTGTTCAACTGGGGTACTTCTCAGGTACATAACCTCAACAGTCCATAAAGTCGATCCCAAACAAAGGTATAGGTGCTGTAAATTTTGCTGGTCTTAGAAATATTTGCTTTTATTGCTATAGAAATGACCACTTAAAGCCTGTTGAAATTTTGAATTCTGGTGGCTTTTTTTTGGACCATAAATTTGTACATATGAAGAATCTTGGTTAGGCTTAATAGAAGAACAATTTGAAGTTATTTACTGCCTTCTGAATCATAGAAGTGTTTCTCTTTCTTATATTCATGTATCTTGTACCATGATCATAAAAGGATCTGAAGTGAGAAATACAGTGTTGGTTTCAGTGTTCTTACAAAATGAAGAGAGAGAAAAGAATGGAGAGGAAAAAAAAAAAGTACTTTTCTAGTTTTTTTCCTAAATAACTGAATATTGATCACCGGTAAGGTAGACACAGATAGACGTGTGAGTCTTGGAGACTGTTCTAGACGCCAGATGGGTGAGGAATTTCATGGGGTGATATGTGGTTCAAGTTCTCGGCCACCATGTAAATTGTGAGAGTTGCTGAGGGGAAGAGGCAGAGTGAGTCTCCACAAGGGTGCCACAGAGGAGGGCTCTGAAACCTTCCTGCCAATTTCCTGGACTTCCTTTGCAACCCTCCACAACCCCTTCATTAGCCAACTTCATGGAAAGCTGCCAAGTTGTAATGCTCACCACCCCCCAAGAAGTGCTGGACTTACATGGCTTCAAAATGGTGCCGAGGCAGGGTTCTAACAGGAGGCCCAAACAAACCCGGCATCTGGGACTCCCATCAACATCGGACACAAGTGATCAAGGGTCCGGTCATTTCCATTGGGCCTGGGTTATCAAAGCTAGAATCTGGGGCTAGCCATACAATGGCACTGAGCCAGAGATGGATCACATCATTCTTAAACTTATAGCTAGAGTGTTAGCATGGGATCTCACATCACTAGACCTTGAGAACAAGATTATCCTGTGGAAGGAGCAGTAGAAATTATCCATACAAAATGGACAAAACCAGCCATCTGCAGACACAACCCAAACTGGACAAGATAAAGGTGTAAATGATGATATATAGCCACTGTGGAGCCCCACTCTAAAGTCACCATTCTGTAGCATCAGAAAGTCAGATTGGCAGGAAACACTATGCAGCTAGAATAAATGAATGCACTGGGTCTGGGGTTGTGGCTCAGCAGTACAGCGCTCGCCTAGCATGTGCAAGGTGCTGGGTTCAATCCTCAGCACCACATAAAAATAAATAAATAAAATAAAGGTATTGTGTCCAACTACAACTAAAACCAAAATATTTTTAAAAAAATGAATGCACAAACCTGGCTTAAGTGAGTTTGGCTTGTCTTTAGACAAAGCATTTAGTACCAGGACTTTTTTTTTTTTTTTCTTACAGGGAGATGCATGCTGACTAGAACATCTGGTTCTAGTAAGAAAACAAACACCTACCATGGAAACGGATGCTTCAGGGTAGCATGGCTCAGTGACCCAAAACTGGGTGTCTGAACACATGTTCCTTGGAACCCTATACAGTGAGATGCTTTATAAAAATAGATGCTTCTTTCCACATCGCCTTCTGCAGGTTTACAATGCACACCTGCTCCTCTCCCAGCCTTCCTCATCTCAATAAATAATACCACCACTTAGCTAATTGCTTGAGTCAGAAATCTAGGCTTCACCCGGGATTCCTCTCTTTCTCTCACTCCAGAGAAGGAATCTGTTTCCAGGCCTCTAGGCTCAAACTCCAAAATATCCTGCATGCGTCCATCTCCACACCTGTCCCACCAGCTTTATCTTAGCCACTATCCTCTCCCAGACTGCAGAAGCTTCTTAATTGGAATCCTTTCTTCCATTCTAGCCCATCTACCATTATAGTCTCCAAAGAGAAGCAATGGTGATTTTTTTTAAAAAAACTGTAAATCCAATCAAGTCTTTCTCATACTTAAGACCACCCCCATGTCTTCCTGTTATCCTCAGAGTCCAAACTCAAAACCCATGTTTGACAGCAAGCACTTTGTGACCTGTCCTCAGTGCCACAACTATCTTCCCTGGACATGGTAGCGGCCCTCTTTGCTTTCAGGTTCCTCAGAGAGACCCTCCCATCAATTCAACCTAAATGAGTGACCCAGCACCTCCAAATCCCATCACTCACCACTGCCTGACATTTTCCTCCATTAATTTGCCCGTTTTTTCAGCCTCCTTTGGTAGCATGCAGGTGCCTTGCCTGTCTCATTCATCCTGACTCCCATGTGCCTAGAACAGTGCTGGGCACATAGAAGGCTTTGCAGTAACTAAATACAAGAATGCACATTGGCAGTTTCAAGGATCTGAGCAGACTTGCAGTAACAGTTGTAACACCCTAACCCAGGTTATCTCCCCATTTCTATCCCTCCAGAATCCTTCCCTCATAATACAACTCAAGTGAACACCCTAGGAAGTAAATGAACTCTACAGAATGCAGTTTGGGAAATGATGCCCTGATCTTTTAAGTCATCCAATGCCAAGGAACCTCTGCCCAGGGAAGGGCTTCTATGCGGGCAGGTCTCCAGGGAAAGTGGGCAGTGCCTGGCTGCATGGCTGTCTGTTCCTCATTGCTATTCCAGGCATCTCTCCTATCCCACAAATTTCCATAATGGATATAATTAGATAATTATTTAGGGGGCCTGATTCACATTACACCCATCACTGCTGGTCTGAACAGCCTCACAAGTGGGAAATCACACTTTTCATGAGAAAAAAGCTGCAACTATCCATAAGGCAGCTGCCAGACTTGAGCAGCTTTGGGTTTTGCCCAACTACCACAGGTGACAAAGGGTATCAAGGTGTTTGAGAAGCCTTATGAGTATCAATGCTGGATTCTGGGACACTGGAAAGAAAAGGCATTACTTTGTAGCACACATTAGATAAAATCAAGCAATCACTTTGATCAGTGACATCAGGTTTTAAAGCTAAAGACTGACAGAAAACAATTATTATGAGCTTTTCCGCAGAACTTTATCATAAGCCAAGAACTTTCTAGTTCCTAACCCTCTACTTTTATTCTGCCATTAAAACAAATGATTAGCTGGGAGCAGTGGTGTACACTTGTAATCCCAGCTACTGGGAAGGCCAAGGCAGAAGGATCTAAAATTTGGGACTAGGCTCAGCAACTTAGCAAGGCCAATTCAAAATAAAAAAATTAAAAGGGCTGGGGATGTAGCTCCATGGTAAAGTACCCTTGGGTTCAATTTCTAGTACCAGGGTAAAAAAATGATTTGCATGGCGATCTTCTGCAGAGTTGTTTAGGAATGCAACTATTCTCATTGTAGTAGACAGTCACTACAGAGGCATGCCTCCTGTGCACTGCTCTGTGGTGAGTATGAGTGGCAAGCATCAGTTCCTCTGGGAAGGTTGGCAAGGTCCAGGCACTAATCCTTCAGGGATCAATCCTGTACAATATGATTTTTCCCCAAGTTCAACATAATACAGCTCCCACCATGTAAGTTCAAGACAACCCAGTCACATTCATGGTTACTACCAATGGGGGACAACGCTCCACTTAGGGAAGGTGGCTGGCTACTCCCGGGCTAACACTTGCCACCTTTCTTTGGCATGTTTTTTTCTCTCTCTGCTCTGGAAAAGTGGAGGCATCTGTTATAACAGAACTTTTACCTCCACCAAGTAAAATGACTTAGCTGTCCCACTCCAAAATCCTTACTCTGCTTTACCCAGTCATCCTCCTTTCAAAAGCATGGCTGTGTCTCTCTCATCTGTTCAATAAATTACTCCAACTTTGAGCATTCATCTTGTAGGCCAACACCCAGAAGGGGTTTGAAGTCTATTTTAGGGGCTATTTATAACATATGAGCATGTGTGTAATGGGCCTGAGTCATGGCAGGAGCAGCTAATTAGTGCTGGCTGCTGGCAGTGCTGACCTATAAAAGTACACATCTCTGCCAGGCACAGGAAGAGGCCCCTTGCATCCACTTCCAAGGTCGTGTGAATTCCTAACTACCAGTAGCACTTAACATTGAAGAAGTTTCAATGAAAACCATAGATGATACAAATTATAATTTAGGGTGCAAAGAACACCCGAAAAACAGGCATTTCGGCCAGCAAGGAAGGAGCCCCACCTGGACTGCATTTCGGCTTGTGCTTTTGAGGGCTGATGTGGCGCTGGCTGGTGAGGCTGGCACGGGGCTTGGGGAGTGGCTGGCACCTGTTGCTGAGGAGTGCCAGCCTGGCACTGGGAGGGGCCCCCTGCCACCTGAGACCCAGCAGGCGGCAGAGGGGAGGAGAGGTGCTGCTTCTGGGGCTGCTGCTGTTGTTGCTTGTAGCGAGAGAGGCTGAAGAAGAGGCCTAGAATGGCCTTGAGGTTCCCATTCCTGATTTCTGCAAGACAATAAAGAGACTCTTGTCAGCTGTTGGAGTCCTTTCTTTTTCCCACTCAATGGGCTGCTTCAGCCCTCACAGGAGTTTAATTCCTAGAGGATATGACAGACTTCCTGAACACTTAATTGGGATCACAGTCAATTAAACGCAGGCCAAAACCACAAAGAAATTAGCTTATTCTCCCCTCTGGGATTAGAGTGGATACACCAGGCAAGTCGAGACTGGATGTCTGGCTAGTGCCAAGAGGAAATTCTCAGTAAGGACACCACTGAAAAGCAGGCTTCCCCAGCAAGACTGTTCTTGTTCTGCAGGCAAAGCGGCCGATCCTGGACAGAGGCACTCTCTGGCACTCTGAGAGACGCACTGGTCTGGCCTGCTCTGCCAAGTTCATGTTCCAAGCCTCGAGCCACACCACGCGTGCCAAGTGGCCACCATCCCACTCCCAAATCCTCACTCTGCTTTACCCACTCACCCTTCTTTCGGATACACGGCTCTGCCTCTCCTGTCCATTGGATAAATAACTGTAATTTGGGATGGGTGTAGGGACAGACTATAAGGACTGGCTTCCATGAGGAACTCATACAAAATATCATATTAAAATAAATTAGAGCAGAGTGGGAAGCCTACTTCTGTTATTCCAGACAGTAATTTTTAGGATGTTAAGATGCCTTTGCCTCAAGGCATGCATAAAGAGTTGTGGAGAAGAATAAAACATTTATTCGCAGGCAGAGGTTATGGATCGCCAGGGTTTCTCCATGAGCCCTTCCTCCTTTTATGCAGTATTTTAACACCAAATGCTGAAAGCAAGAAGCTAAACTGATCCTGAGGAGTAAGGTACCAGGGCCACCCACAAGAAGGGACAGGAGGAGACTTGTGGGGGAAACAAACCCAGACGCCTCTGCTTCGCTGCAGCCCTGGACTGGATTTCTTCTCAAAAGGGCAAGGGGCAAAGAAGGACACGCACCAAGGAAGCTCTGGGGCCTTGCTAGAGAGGTGGGGGGTGCACACCCTGCTTAGCACTGAGCTGGGGAAAGGCTACTCATGAAGAAACAGTGCTTCCTCCAGGGCCAGTGGAGATGCAGAGATGTGAATGGAGTCCCTTCCAAACAAGCCCTGTCCCCTGCACAGGAGGAAGAGCAGCCTGTCAGGGCATCAGTCCTGGTGTGATCTGCTGTTTGGCCGGAACTAACTACTTTCTGCTGGAGTATCCTTTTCTCCAGGCACTGGAGAAACTGACAGGACCCACCTCTGGAATCCAGCCTTCACACAGTACGTTGGGAGCCAGCAGGTTCTGATCACGGAACAGAGCCGACAGGAATACAACAGTCAGAAAACCTAAGCCATGAGTTCCAATCTGCACTCTATCAATCTCTTGCTGTGCCACCTGAGGCAAGTCACTTAATCTCTCTGGGTCTCAGGAAAATGACAACATCAACACCACCCAGGCCACCATACAAGGTTGTTTTGCATATCAAATGAGAATATATGTGTGAAAGTGCACCATTTATAGTGAAGGCCTTCACTGCTCTTAGTTATCTTATGTAAACAAAAGCCCCGGAATCCTGAATAAGATTATCATACAGCTCCAGGTTTGATGGAGACTCACACACCTGTAGCCACCTGGGTGGACAGTGACAGGAGTGAGGGGAAAAGTTGAAATAAGCCAACAATGTTCTGGCCTGCAGTTTTGCACCTAGGAAGAAACTTGGGGAAACAGACAATTTTCTCTCAAAACTGAAATCACTGGAGGCAGAACATAATGCTAATCATGGGGAGAGAGGCAGCCTGGGTTGCCTTTTACAGTGATCAGGTTGCTGTGTGGTTTATACCAAGCACCACTACTAGTAAGCATGTGCCAGGCTGAGCTCTTCCCATGCACCATCTCTCTTAATCCTGGCCACCTGAGAACTAGGTCGTGCTCCCCTTATTTTGTTTACAGGGAAGTAGAAGTTCAGAAAGGTTTAATGACCTTTCCAAGGTAATAAATCCTGGAGCTGGGACCTAAATCCAGGTATTTCTAGCTCCAAGTCTGGTATCCTGACATGGTCTAACTTGGCTTACATGTATACCCAGTCTGTGTGATGAATTTAAAAGGAGACCAGATAATGTTCTATTTATTAAGCTAGCTCTTAGGCATATAAGTATTCTTTATTCTTCTGGTGTGTCAAACATCCCAGAAGATATTTTATATGTTGTTGGAAATTTATTTATTTATTTTTATGTGGTGCTAAGGGTCAAATCCAGTGCCTTGGACGTGCTAGACGGATGCTCTACTGCTGAGCCACAACCCCAGCCCCTCTGGACATATTTTTTGAAACTATGGAAGAAAACAAAGAGGAGAGGGACTTAACAATTCAGCATATCCATGGGATCAGGGCTGCCCACTGTGAAAAGTCAGTACATCCCTGTCAGCACCCCCGTAACCCACCAGCCAATCCCACTGCAGAAGATGGAGCCAGTGCTATCTCTGTCTCTAGCTACTGTGGTCATCAAACCATTCACTGCTCATACCGGTTTGTACCATTGTTCCTTAAAGCATGTTTAGCTGCCAAAGAGTATAATTTTCCTCTGGCAAATCCTCTTTTTCTTAGGGGATAGCACTATCACAAAGAGAAGTGATTTTCTTGGAGCCAGAAAACTCTGGGGTCAAATCTCTATAGTCCATTTGCAGACTTTGATTTGTTGCAAGATTCAGCCTCTCTGGGATTCAGTTTTCCTCTCCTGTAAAATAAGCGTATGTCGCATCGCACCTTCCTATGGGGCTCTTAGGAGAACTAAGTGAAGGTGGAAGGAGAAAAATGAGTGCAAAGCACTTGGGACCTTGCCTGACTCAAATTCACATTTTGGCTCAGAAAATATGGCCCCCCTACCTGCAGCTTCCTCAGAAACCCATTCAGGGCTCTCTACCCAAACAAAGCCCAAGAAGAGGATCGCTCCCTTCTCCCCCTAGGCCAGTCACTGGTATCTGGAAGGAAATCAGTTATGAATAATCTCATATTAGAGAAAATGCAATGGTGACTTTCTTTCTGATATTTAAAACAGCTTTATGAAGGTATTATATAATTTCTATCAATAAAGTTAGGTGTTCAATTCAGTGTTTTTAAAGTAAATTTAATAAATTTACTTACATTTAATAAATTTAGTTTTAGGATATTTCTATCACCCAGAAAGATTCCTTATACTCAATTGCAATTGATTCCCAAACCCACTTCTAGGCATCCACAAATACACTTTCTGATTCTACAAATTTGTCTTTTTTTGGATATTTTATGTAAATGGCATCATGTAATATGCAGTTTTTTTGCATCTGGCTTCTTTCACTTCACATCATGTTTTAAAGGTTGGACTATGTTAGAGAATTTATCAGTTTCTTTATATTGCTGAGACGCATCTCATCATATGGATATGCCATATTTTGTTTACTTATCTCACTGATGATGGACATTTGGATTGTTTCTTCTTATTTTTTTTAGATCACAAAAAAAAAAAAATCAAGAGTGGTGGATGCTCTAAAAGTCCAGAGTCTAAACCACGGGTGGTCTACAACAGACAGTATCCAAAATAGCTAGAACCATGTTCCTTCCACATTTCCAAGGTATTTGTCTGTGTTCCACGAGGCCTGGCTCACCAGCTCCATAGAGAAGTCTAAAAACAAAATCTGCAAGCCCACAAGAATGTTTCCCTCATGGCCCTTCCCAAGGTGTGGGAAAAGGACTATCATTTAGTGTCTGATCCACACACCTCCTCACCTTCTAGACTTCCTTCCTTCTAGAAGGAATATACACAGACCTAAGTTGTTAGGCTATCGATGACTTGTCCAAGGGGACCCTAGATAACTGAACACTGGAATCCTGCTCTTCCTCTTCCTGCAGCCACCCTCATGCAAACTGGAGGACAAACTGCACAGGTCACAGTCCCATTCTGTTAGAATGTTCCATCGCCTGGTGCCTAAGTTGTTTGGTTTCTGGCTGATCTCTTTGTCCCCACTGGCTGGTCCTAATCTGTGGAGATGCTATAGGTAACATCGGGCATGATGGGAAGTGAAACAGAGACGTTATTGTCTTTCAACATTTTTTAAGAAAAACCTCAGGCCTGGTTTCCAAAGTAATGGAATAATCCAATACAAAGAAACCTGCTCTAGCGAGTAGAATGATTTGAAGCCAAAAGTCGGGCTGCTCTGCAGCAGATCACAGGGGTGCAGGACTCCTATTTGATTCCCCACTGCTACAGTTGTGTGAGGCTCCCTGACTAACAGGGGACTGTGGTTCCTATGGTCTGTTCCTGAAGATGGATGGGCTACATAACTGACATGGGCCACCTCCCTTTCCACCCACTCCTGTGGCCCTTTGGGTCCTGCCCACAAGCCTGCCAACTGTGCTCGTCACAGGGGAGGAGGGATGAGAAGGTGGGGGCAGAGCCTCTACGGCCACTGGGACAGAGGAACAAAAATAGTCCACTGTGTGCCCACTCAGTTGAGGTGGGCAGGAGAAATGGAAATATTCCACGGGCTGTCTTTACCCAATAGGTCCAGTGAATGCCCCTACCGTCTGGCTCAGGATGAAAGGAGGAGCAAGCTCAGTCTCTAGGTCTCTGGCCATCAGGAGAGACCTGATCGAGTCAGTGACAGATTTCCCTTCAAAAGCACACGCTCCTCCAGAGTCACCTGCATGGATCTTCCTGCCTCCATTTCTACAATCTGCTAGTTTGATAAAGAACCAGCCCTTTGCCTCCATGTCCCATCTGCTGACTAGGCTTCCCTTCACCTCACTTTTTCTGCCTGGCAAATGAGCTCTCATTCCAGAACACCCAGGAAAATATCACCCCTTTTGTGAAGCCCCCTGGCTGCCCCAGGTGCAGCTGACCTGCCTTTTCTTGGCCACCAGTGAATCCTGTAGGTAGCAGAGCTCTCTTACTAACTGGGATCAAGGGTAGTTTTATACAATTGACTTATCAGTGACCCTCAGTACCTAACACTGTGCCTGGTATATAGGATGCACCCAGAAAATACAAAAGAATGTGCCTTACCCTGGACCTCTGCTTCTCCACTGAAGGAGGTTGGGGGTTCAGGGTCAAGTAGTACAAAGCCCAGGTGATCTCAAAAATGGCCAAAGATGAGGGCCATTCTCCCTCCCAGGGGCAGGTTGACAGACAGCTGTGACAGGTGGAGTTCCTGTCAGGAAGGATTAGAGGGTGGATCTTGAACATCACCTCAGGGAAGGAGAGGTCTAAGCCCACAGGACCCTGGCAAGGCTCTAAGAGCACAGAGATGTGTCTGAGCTTCAAGCTGCAGGAACACTGAGGGGGCAGGAGGTCTGGGCCAGGGAAGGCTCACACCAGCAGCACCTCCAGGGCTGGGTGGCTGCAATTGCTGCCCCCAGGCACCCGCTGTTTGAGCCCGGGAACAAAGGCTCTCTGTGGCTCTCTAACGCACAGGTTGGGGCAGGCCTGTGCTGCAACCTGCAAGGACAGGTGCACACACCTTCCTGGTTGTGAAGCAGCTGCAGTCACTGGGAAAGGGTGGAGATGTACCTATGGGGCTTTCCAACCACCATGTGTTTGTTTTTCATCAGAGGAGGCACCCCAGGGCACTCAATCATCTTCAAAAGGGAAAAAAAAAACATTAAAACTACATGATTCTTTTAAACACTAATGCTTTTCTAATAGATATGCAGGTGGCTGGAGACAGCAGGCCCCTGAATCAGCAGAGGAGGGCAGCTTAGCCACTGCCCATGGGTGCATGTAGCATCCCGTGTATAACTCCAGCTCTTTGGGCCTTTGTTTCCTAGTCTGCTTAATGGGGATAATGGCAACACTGACCTCAGTGAGTTGCCAGGAGATTAAATAAGACACGAATGCTCAGTGACTGACACATGGTATGTTCTCAATAAACTGATCCCATCCTATAATCCAACAAGAGGTCAGGTGAGATATTCCCTGAACCCTGAAATTGTGAATTATTTGATGACAAAGGGCTCTAAGTTTCCTCTCTCTTTATAAGGTCAAGGAGACTTTCATAGTTCAGATTCAGCCTCAGCACCAAATACCATCATTGCTCCCTAACCTCCCCTCCAAAGAAATCCATATAAGATCTAATAACAGAATGTCATTTTGGAGGATGATGCTTGATGATCATGGAGACAGGAGAACTCCTCCCCTCCCCAAGGAACATGTGGAAGTCAGAGGGGTGAAGGCCCCAAAAGAATCAAAGTGGGGGTGCTGATAAGAAAAGGAACCTGGCCTTCCAGTCTCAAGTTGCAAATCTGCTTAGCAGACTCAGCCAATCTGCCTCTGGGCCACCTAAGTAGGGGGGAAAGAACTTGTGTGCTGGGGGACTGCTTCCAGGTGATAGGAGTCCTGCTCCACCCTTGCTCCTGGAAAATGGAGCATGTTTTCCTGCTGGTTCCATGTCAGACACTGGGGTTTGTGAGACCATGGTGAGAGGGCTGGCTGAACCTTACCAAAGAACTACCAGTGGCCTTAAAGCAGCATGGGAGTGAGTCCCATCAGTAGGGCATGCTGAGCCCACCTGGGACGGTGACCATTACGGTGACCAAGAGGAAGATGGCAACTTCACCAGCGCAGAACCCTACCTCCTCCACTGCCCAAACCCTGCAGTCTTGGGCACAGGAATCAGGATAGGAGAGAGGAAGGGAAGCCTTGCCACCGTGCCCCATTCCCCTTCGACTTCCTGCAGGCTGGGGGGTGTGGGGGAGGAAAAGAGCTTTGAGTAGAGAAATTTAAAAAGGAATGAGACTGAGTCAAAAACATGGACATAAAGCTATGCTAATAACTGAACGTGACTGAACAGTTATGGATTCTGGCCAAGATATCATTAAGTGAGTCTCGACCCAGCAGGGAAGATGGGGGTTCAATACAACACAGTTGGGGGCTGTTATTGAAACAGTGTAAAACCACTTTGTAGTTACATCCCAGAGTCAATCACCTCAACACACTGTTCCAATATGTTCTCCTGTGCTCAGGTCCCACAGGTCAGCCCAACATCAAAAAGGGGCAGAGGGCAGAATGTCTCCTTGCACACTGTGCCACTGAGGGCCACACAACACCTTCTCAAACCACGTTCCAGGGAACAAAGAGCTCTAAACCCAATTTCTTTCACCTATATATGGCACATGCAGATTTTATTCATCTGTCATCCCAGAAAATGCCATAAAGATGAGCTCTGAAATCACACTAGCCTGGGTTCAAATCCTGCCTTTTCCACTCTCTAGTGACATGCCTCAGGGGTGTCACTCATATCCTTTAAGCCAAAGTTTCATATCTGTAAACTAAGGGTTTTATAAACTCCAGCTTCAGTTGTGAGAACAGAAGGCAACATAGATAAACCCTTAGGAGCACAGTTGGCAATTATTCATTCAACAAATACTTATTGCAGAGGTTTCTATGCTTTAGAGTACAGAGAGGATGGGGCAGATGTGGGGAACAAATGAGACAGAGGGCAAGACAATGGGTAGGTGCTGAGCAATTGGGGGCAGGAGAAAGCAGGACTGCAGGATCTGCATCCCCCAAGGCCTTGATACTAATCATAATTCTAGAAAAGTCCCTGTGGTGCTCTACTTGGGGGACATTGACCTGAACCTGGGGTCCATTTGTTCTCTGGAAACTAGGAGGAACATGTCCTGCCACCTACTGATCAGCCCAAGAACTCCCCACCAGGAGGAAATCCTGTGTTCTCTCAATGGGAATTTGCATCTCCCTGCCACCACCACCACCACCTGTGCCCCAGCAGTGAGCATTCTACATGGATGATGGCCCACACCCTAAGGCAGAGAAGTCTTCCAGGGATCCTCCTGTAAGAGCAGGGATTAAGACTGACCACATTACAGTTGCTTCTCAGGCCTCTCAAAGCAGAATGACCATGCCTGCCTGGGGACAGGTCCAGTGTACTAGAGTTCCCAAACTATTTGAACAGTCATGTTACACCTAGAAGCCATTAACATCAGTTATTTATGCCACCCACCCCCAATGCTGGAAGAGACTACAGCTGAGGAACACAGCCAGAAAAACCAAGCTTTCACCAACTAGCAGAGCAAAGCTGAGGAACGAACCCCATAGAGAATCCATCACATTTCCAAACTTACCTGCTCCACTTGACTGCTTCTCTCCTCACTGCTCCCCTCTGCCTCACCCTGGCCCCTCCCTGGGGTCCATGATCACACACCTCTTTTCAAAAAGCACCCTTGCTTGGAAAAGGTGTACCATCTGAGATGCTTTACCTGTTCTGGGAAAGCTGGAGGCAGGTGCAGCCTAATGAGTTTGGGAGGACACGGGGCCTATGGCAGAGTCTGAGCTGGCAGCTGCTTGTATTTACAAACAGGAGAGAGAGTGAATGATTCCAGGTTAGGTGTTGCCTCAGGAGGTTGAGGATTCCGACCAGTCAGCTCCAGACCCATACATAATTTAACTGTAAAACGCTAGCAAATGCTAACGTGCTAATTAGCCACCAAATTTAAGTTAATTAAAAACTAATCCAGATGTAGAAATATAGTAATGCATTAATAAATCTCATGCTTTTTTTTCCCCCCTTAAGAGCAAGGACAAGTGCTGCTTCTCTAATAAAAGATAAGGCTTAAGCATTTTCCCCTGGGAGCTGTACAGTTTAGCATGTGCTGCGGTTAAAGTGTTTTTCTCTCCCACAGATAAGACCTGACTTGATAATTAACTGAGCCACCAGACAGACAGATTCAGCATTGTTGAAGCCAGTCCTTCTTCAACAGGAGCAGCTCACCCCCTCAGTGGCTTCCAGATGGCTGGTATGGCTGCAGATGTGACTGCCATTCTTAGAGTGATTCTTTGGGTTATCCTAAAGTTGGTTGAGGCTAGGCAAGGAAACAAAACCAGAGGAGTTTACCAACATCCCTTCACCATGGTAACAGCACCAGTAAGTACCAAGCAGGTGGGCAGTGCTGACAGCAAAAAGGCAGCAGCAGGAAAAGCCCTCTCACTCACCTTCTGCAGACAGCCCCTGGATGTTTATCCCCTTAGCTGCCAGGAAATTCAAGCAGGCATCTATGTTTTCAATCTGGTAGGGGGGAAAGAAAACAATTTGTATTTAATATTCAGCCTTCTCCCAAGCCATCTCTCATTAGGAACCAAGAGCAAATGGAATGCTGTCAAAATAGCCAATGGATGGAAGGATGGATGGATGGACGGATGGATGCAGCACAGGACTCCTCTTTGTCTGTGCTTGCTCAGGGAAAGGTTACCTAATATCCCAACCACACCGTGCCAAAATTCAAGGCCTTGGATTGCTCACAGCTGCCAAAAATAACCAGGGTGGAATGAGAGCTCTCATCTTGATCAGTGTCACCAATGCAATCCTGAAAATTTGAACAGCTGCCAGGAAAAATGGAGATGGGGACGAGGTTGGTGTGCCCACCCATCTCCCAGCAGCTGGGAGAAATTTCCAGCCACCCAAGCAGCAGACAGTCAGATGCACAAACGGTGAACGGGAGTTTCAGCAGGAATCTGGGTAGAGCTTACTCACAAAATTCTCAGGATGGCAGACGTTGCGATGACCAGAGAGGGTTATGGCCTCCCAAACCTCTCTGTCCTTTGTGCTCTCTGTAGCAAGAAGAGACTCCCTGCCAGGGTCTGGGAGGCCTCCCAGGTTTGCTGGAACTGAAGCCACAGCCAAGGGCAAGCTGATAGCTAGCTCTCACAAGAGAACAATTAGGTCATCCCCAAAGGTTTGATCTGACTTCAGTTGTCAGGGCGAATTATTTTTTTGGTTTAAAGGAAAAGGTTCTGGCTTGATTAATGTCACTGATGACCATAAATAAAAGAAATTGCTTTTGACCTGCACAGGGATCTTTGAATTTCACATAATTTGCATCTCACTTATAAGAACTCCACTCTCCTCAGCAATCGCTCCATCTCACGCGCCTTCCCAGGCTCTATCGACATTCTTATGCACTCAAACCAGTATTTAACCCGAGAAGTTTATTTTGAGCTAATAAACAATTGTCTTTCACAGTGTACATGTCTCCATGCTGCCTCCCCATCCTCAAGCAAATTCTTGAGGCCCCTCATAGCCACAGAAAGTGCAAAGCATCTACATTTTAAGAGCCCTAATTTGAGTGGAGTCTGGCTCTGAGAGTCCTCCTGAAGTTCACATCTACTCTCCCACTGAGGTTGGCATTTTCCTCCTCTACCCCAGTCTTCACATCTTTCAAATGCATTAAATGAAGCTATGGGGCAAAACTGTGTCCCTTCTATAAGAATCCACTCTATTCTGAGCGTGAAGTTACTGTATCTGTGCATCTTTGGCGCGTGTTTTCATCTCTTTCCCAGCATCTAGCCCACCTTGAAGTGTCCTCATCTGGCAGACAATTTCTTATTTCTAGAAAAAGGAGAAGAATGCAATTTCTTGCAAACAAAGCAAATGCCAATATTGTAAGTTATGCCTGCCACTATGCAGAAAATCAGCCCTTATAAAGGAGGAGGAAAATGATACTGCTTTTAATCTTTCTTCAGTAAGTCCCAGTAAGGTTCAAGTACTATCATCTTGGAGGAAGAGGAAAAGAAGGAGGAGAATGGCTACCAGAGCCCTATGATGTTTTGGAGCAAAATGCTTCCATGTGTAAGTGTAATAAAAATATCTTTGCTATTTTATCCTATTATCAAACTCTGCTTTTAAGAGAAATGATTAGCTAGAAAGGAAAATGTTAACTCTCATCCCTTGTCTCCTCTGTTGTACACAGTAGTGAGATTCCAAAAGCACTCAAGGGAGTTTGGTAGCCTCACAAAGAGACCCCAAGTCATGACAAAATTATGAAATTCATCTTCCGCTCCTGTCTCTTCCTATAATCCTATACTACTCCTTTATTACCTCACACATGCCTGATGAAAGAGGCTTTGACAATTATGTCCCCATGGAGAAAAAGAAAAAAAAAACTGACCATCCCTGAATCCCTGTTCATGCAAAAATTAAAAGTGGTTATGCTTGATATTTATCTTAGAAAGTGTCATGCCTGTGGGTTAATGTGCATGGGTTATGGTTTTTCAGCAATAATGCAGCATGTGACACCCAAGAAATAGACATACACCAACACATTCAAGAAAAGCACTACTCTGCAGAAGAAATTTCCTTCCAAGGAGCAGAACATATATTTACTTGGCTTATTTCAGGAGCATTCAGTATCCATGGTGGTGTCCTCCTGCAACCTAGCTTTTATCCATTTCAATTCAGCCATCTGCTGGGAATTCTTTTAGTGTTAAATTCTATTAAAAGCATGAATAATTATAAGTAGGTTACCTGGAATACTTCTTCTGGGGTGTTGATGCTTTTAAAGTCATTATCCTTCTGTAGAATTTCATAATTTAGATACGGTTTGGTTTGTTTGTTTGTTTGTTTTCTGGTTCTAGGGATTGGACTCAGGACACTCAATCACTGAGCCACATCCCCAGTCCTATTTTGTATTTTATTTAGAGACAGGGTCTCATTGAGTTGCTTAGCGCCTAGCCATTGCTGAGGTTGGCTTTGAACTCATGATCCTCCTGCCCCAGCCTCCAAAGTATTTCTCCATTGGAGCTGGGGGATAAATGGTGAAGGAGAGGGGAGAGTTGGTTCTGTTGGAAACATTTTGGGCTACCACCATGAAGGGGAGGAGGTGGTACTCAGTAATCTGGTGGGTAGAGGCCAGAGATGATGCTAAATATCCTACAATGCACAGGACAGCCCTCTGCAACCACAAACCTTCTAATCCACACTGTTAAAGTACTGAGGTCAATAAACTCTGAGTTGTACAATCCCTTTACTCATTCATTCAGTCACCAATGTGCAGATGTCTGCTCTGGGCCAGGTCCTGAGCTCCATTCTTTTGATGGTGTTGGTTTTTGTAAGAATCCTACAATGGATAAAATGAGGTAAGGTCACAGAAATCAACGGCAGAGCTGGGGCTGGAACATAGGAGGTCCTCCTCCCCATCTCAGGAGCCTGCATTTACATAGTCCACAGAGCCATTTGACATGGCCATCCTGGTTCCCATACAGACCAGGGAGAATCAGAACAAATAAATAGGGGGAGTGTTAAGATCCTCCTTCACTAGGTGAAAGAGGCCCCAAACCACCAAGAGCACTTTCACCCAAAAGGGTGAAGAAATCCAGGGAGCAACATACATGGCAGGATGACACTCCCAGAAAAAGTTAAAAAGAAGATCATCATTTAAAGGATCATTCACAAGCCTATCAAGTGCCTTGAATTTTTTCCCTTCCTTCATGAACTCTGTTCACAGACATTCCTGAAGTCTCAAACCCACTGTTTAATAATGTTCCATTAAGGTTAAAAATCACTCCTGACAAGGCAGTAGAGACCTGCACTCTTTTCATCTGCACCCCAGGAGGAGAGCAAGGCTGGGAAGCAGGAAGGGGTCAGATCTGGATTCCAACCTCCTGCTTCATTTGGAAAAAGATCAGAAAGGGAGACTTGCTTTGATCCAGGCCCTCTTGTGATTAAAATTCACATTAACACATTCACATTAAAGTTTTCTTCCAAATACTCTACAGGTAAATAATCCATCTTCATGTACTATTGAAATTTCAAACTCCCACCCCACCTCAAGAGGGGAACAGCCCAAACAGCAGCACCGCAGGACCACTGCAGCACAAAGATGTTCTTCTGCCATCTCTAAGGAGGCTCCTGGCTCATGTGTGATCCAGACACCCACCATGAGATGAGGATCCAGTTAAAATTGAGAGGGTGAGCGACAGAAAAGACTCCTAACCAGAAAAGTATGTAAATATGGCCAAAGTTGTTCATTAACACATAGTGGCCAATATAAACCACTTTCCAAAATTAGCTAAAAAAAAAAAAAAAATCTATGTGAAGCCTAACATTCCAGTGTCACTGAAGCAGGCGGGACTGGGTGAGAAGGCTATGGTAGTTGTTGCCATAGAAATGGGCTCAAGAGCTCTACAATCAAGTGGCTGGAGTTTGCAGCATTAGCTGGGGTGGGAAGCCCAGCCAAGGGACCACCATGTGGCTTAGAGGTCCCTGCAGCAGAAAGGTGTCATGTGAGATGTAGGAAAGGTCAAGGGAAAGAGACAGATGAAGACCAGGACACACTTGGTGCCAAACATGGGCTCCACCCTGTGCAGGCCTTTCTCCAGCCTCAGCTGGGACCTCCATCACAACCTTGAATAGTTTCTCTGCAGTCTCTGGATTTCAGTTTGCAGGGACAACTTCCATGGGTTATGGATGTTACAGCTTTTGTCTTCCATATCCAGAAGTACATCCCCACCCATCAAAACAAATCCCAAACAACTGGAGAGAGAATCAGAGGAGGGAGGGCAAATGGAAAACTTTGCATTTCAATCATGATTAGGGCTGGACTGGGTCTGATGATAATGTAAAATATGCAAACCTCGGAAGTCCTGCTGTATGTCTCCTTGGTAGCTTAGAAACTGATCAAATACCATCTGTTGTGGCAGTTGTCATGGCAGCATTTTTCTCTGAATGCCAGCATAGCCAAGTGCAAAGCACATGAAAATGATTAATGCAAACGAAGACCATCTCTATGGGAGCTGCTGCAGCCCAGAGCAAGATGGTGCTCTGGGCATATCAAGCAAGCGCAGAGCTGGTATTTATGAGTTAGGAGTTCCTCACATGCCCCTTGGAGATCTGCACCCTGGGAAGAGGGGCAAACAGCTGTTGCATTAAAATCAGGCACAGGCACAGTCATGTTTTTAAAAACGTGAAATGCCTAAAGTCCAGGCAACAGGAGATGTGGACCTCAGGCAAGGGTAAGTGAGAAGGTGAATGTGCCAATGATTCTAAAAGCTCAGTGCAGCTCCTTCATGAAACTCTTTATCAGCTAGAACGACTTGCTTCCAGAAATGCATGTGACCCCCACACCTGATATTGTTACTTGACATTAATAATCATCATCATTCATTCATTCATTTACCTAGGCCTTCACCCAAATATACTGAGCACCTATTGGGTGTTAGGCAATGTGCTGTGCTAGGTATATAGTGATGAATAAAACGGGTATAACCTCTGACCTTGTAGAGGTCAAGTCT